TTGACAAAAAAGGTGCCTTAATCTGTGATAATACACAAAGAAAGCCTCACACCATGTTTGACAACCAAGTTACTCCATTCCCACATATTAAAGGGATAACAACTGTTCAATTAGACCAAAAATGGATTTTCCTAGGGTAAAGGACAATTTTCCCATATTAACCAATGGTTAATGAATCCATTCCCACATTCAAAGTAAGTCCCTGTTTTTTTTTTTTTTTTTTTTTTTTTTTTTTGGCAAAAAAGTTTGGTGGTCTGTAATATTCTCTTAAGAGATTTTTACAGAGTGTAGCCAGCCATGGAGGTCATGTGATGTGATGGCAAGCACAAATTCCAGAAAAATTGCATTAACCACTGTTTTTGGTGGTAAAATGGAATTAATTATATTTCTATTTATATTTCTACAATGCACTTATTATTGTGAAATATGGATAACTTATGAATAGTTGTTATCCCTTTAAGTATGGAGCATGCACCTAAAATAAAGGCAATACAGACCATCCATTCAAAATGAGAGGAAAGACCTGGAATGACATAAGAGCTTGTGACTGAAGTCAGTGTCATCTTTTAGACTAACCTTTTGGACTACTAAGACAACAGGAAAACTCATGCAAAATTAAACTCGTCCTGTAACAACAAGGAAATTGTTTTTTTAATGTTTCTTGTGTACTTTTTACAAAAGGTCACAGTGGAAATATTACAGATTTATCCCAAATGATTTATACTTGAAACAGACTAAAATTTAGGCCTTAAAGTTCAGACTTATTTTCGCTCTTAAATTCTTTTTTGAAAGTGACGTCAGAATTAAAATCTTTACCAGATTTGACCTGATCTGACCTGCTGTTAAGCATTCCTCTGGTCTGAGGAAAAACTTTGACATACGGGCTAAAATAATACACAACGACTTAGTGGGAGTTTAATTTAAAACCTACAAGATGTGACTTCACCATTTTTTGCCTTTGCTGCTACCAAAGTATTTTCCATTCATTTACTCACCAAAGCTATAATGTGAGTGCACCACTGTTTATGGTGAATTTTCTATTATTAAATTTTGTAATGGCACAGTTTTCATTATTGTGAATATTTATGTAACTATTCACATTTAATTCCCATATGCCAACTCAGTTTTTCCAATCCAAAATATCTAGTTGCATAACCATCAAAAAATATACTGCATAAGTAAAGAAAGAATTCCTCAGATGAATGAAAATTCAACTAAAAAATTGCTGTTCAACTCCCCCATACTCCTCTATTCACAGAAACATATTGCTGACCCACGCATGCACACACACACATACACGCACACACGCACATGCACACACACACGAACACACACCTCAACACTAATTTCTGTAGCAAAACTTCCTTCAACCTAACATAATCATCTTTCTGGTCCATCAGAGACTGTATATATATTTACAGAATTAGCCATGTGTCAATGGCATGGAGGAGAACCAGGGTGTTAAATTATTCAAACTAAGCAAACACAGACCAGTTAGAGTAGAGGAGGTGAAAACAAAAACTTGGGTCTCAATGGGGGAGTTTGTTTTCTCAATGGCTTAGGGTGGTCTATTGGAACACCAACATAGGGGTGGGGTCAGAGCCAAAACAATAATACTTCTAGAACTTCAATATTGATTTATAAATTGAATTTCTCAAATAAACCTGGAAGGCCAAAAATATAGAAAATGTCGACAAAGTGCCTAAATTGCATTATAAATTATTAGGAAAGGAAAAAGAGGGGAGAGGGTTATGATTTCATGTCAAATGGGTTAATCCTTGTTTGCGGGCTTTTGAACTATTATGGTTTTATTTGTTCACTGGTTTCCTACTGCATTCATGCTTTTCATCACTGTACACAGCTTTGAGCTCGGTATTGAAGGTATACTGTAAGATTATGTCAACTTATTGCACAAAGTATTATAATCTGGCTAATGTTTGGAAGACTTCTGGAATCCGACCAGTTCTAATGTACTCAAGAAAATGTTCAGATTTGTGAAGGGGGGGGGGGGGGGAGGTTGACCCCAACATTAACACCTGTGTAAGAATATGAGGGTACTTAAGAAAAAATACCCTCATCTTTCATTATAAATAAACAGACATAAGTAACTGGTAAATTAGTCTTTGAAATAAGATTACAACATAACCCTATTCATAAATTCCTTTGTTTTTTCATGTTTCTTATGTCCTTCACATAAAAATGGCTTCCAGGTCACAACATCAGCCCAGACAGCACAAAAAGTCACATCTTTATTCACAGGTGTACAGCGCCTATCGTATAATAAACAACTGGATATATCAATTACAAGTTATTCCGATTTATCCAAGAAGGCAATGACAAAGCTAAAATATCACTTACATATTACACCCAGACTCAGCAGCAAAACTGACAGGTCCTAGGTATCATTTCCGTATGATAGTGACTCCATTGACAAGCGACAAAGCTGACCTGCAGACTTGGGCCTCGTTCCCATACCTAGGCCGATCTAGCAGGATCGACTCACCTTTGAGGGGTTTCTCGTTAAATTGCATTCAACTTAAGCTGCTCTGATGTCTGGCATGCCTGACGCTGTACATAAGGTGGTAATTAATTCTTGTTTAGCAGCTTTAGTGAATGCAATTCAGCAAGAATCCCCTTGGAGATGGGTCAATCCTGATAGATCAATCTAGGTATAGGAATGGAGTCTTGGTCACTGTATACATATATATCATTTTCATAGACAATATTTGTGTAGCTTAAGTGACCGGTCAAATATATCATTTCACAAAACCAATGGAGAGTTTTTGAATGCACACAGTCATTTTTTTTTCTGTTCCTTTATACACTTTCGTGAAAACTGACCTCCTCTCTCTAATACTGTGACACAGAAATGACCTCTATTATCATAATTATTTTCAGTCAAGGTCCAAGATGACCAGAGAGGTTCAAAATATAGTGGACAGTAGCATAGTCATCAGATACCATATTCTCAAACTTGACTAATAAGTTACCAGTGGTGACTGAAACAAAATAAACACAGCTCTCCATTTAGAAGGTCTCATTTCCTTGTGTAACAACTGTTACATATACATCAACAATGACAGTGATTGTATTTTGGGTATCAGTTACATATAACAATAGCAGTACACATAATAATGGAGCTTGTCACTGACTTCCCATCCCTAGGTCTATAACTCAGTGGCATGGCTGGACTACTAGTATACTATTAATTAATGTTGTCCGGTGAAACCAGTACATATCAGTTATTCACCTGTACATTTCAGTCATAGGCACATGTGGATTACATGGGTGGCTACAGGACTGAACAAAATTTTTTGTTCAAAATAGCGCAGTTATGCTAGAAATCAGTTTATATAAGCTGCTATTGAATTGGAGGATTGGAGTCTTGAGCTGACTGTGTCTGAATACTTGTTTTGTATTTTAAATATATATCTAGAGTAACTGCAAATAAAAACTGATAATCACTATGGCATAAATGCAAAAATATGCTGTCAGCATTTATGTTGGTCAGATTTGCTATAAAAGTTTTGGACAAAAACTCTATTAAACTCTAAGGAAGACACAATGTGATAACTCGTACTAAATAGTCAAACAAAGGGGAAATAAATGATGAATAGCAATAAAGAATGTTATTACTATTATTATGTTTTAATTTATCTATCCTGGGTCTTCTCAAGAAAATGGACTGTCTATTTTTGGATGTTTTTTTCCA